CCTACCTACCTACCTACCTACCTACCTACCTACCTACCTACCTACCTACCTACCTACCTACCTACCGTATTTCTCTCTATATCGGTCGGTCGGTCTGTCTGTCTGTCTGTCTGTCTGTCATCCGTCTGTCCATCTATCCACCCACCTTTTTCAGACTTCATGCCTGCTTATGTGAGAGGAAACTGAATTAAATGTGATGGACTTTACTTCATAATGTTTAAGCTAGCCTGACCAGTTTATGGCACGTTTTGAAGCCTTTGTAGTAGCTGGAAATTAATAATTAAAGGCATAATTCCTGTGTGATTTTCTTATTCATACCACAAAGGTAAAGAAACTCTCTTTATGTCTATAGAGGCTTTTTTATGTCTCATTTCATTATGGTGAAACTTCGTACTATCCATCTCAACTAATTGCACTCACCCACTCTACTCACACACCCACACCCACACACAAGATTAAGCCAAATTTAGGGAGTGCAGAGTTAAAATATCCATATGACCACAATAACATGATTTTTAAAAAGAGAAAAAAAGCAAAATGGAAATTACCACTAGTACACCATTAGTAACAATATTTTCAGGAGGAGCTGAACTGAAAAAAAATAAAAATAAAAATGCATGTAACAGATTTTGGTTATTTAAATGTGCCTTTTATTTAATTCAGGGTGACATGAATTAATGACATTACACTCTGCATTAACTTACTTTGGCTACAATTTAACTACATTCTAATGTGAAACTTTTAAAACTGATTATAGGTTTATCACTTGTAGGGCAAAAAATGGGCCTACTGAAAGTCTGGAAACGGGTCCGTTTCTGGCCTCCAGAGGGCCCCTGGAGTCCAGGGGAGACCATTTTTGCCCTCCTGGAGGCTCAAAAAACCCCTCCAGAGCCTGGGGAGGGCAAAACACACACACACACCAACCGTAGTACAGGAAGCTGACTAGGCTATACCCCCATGGCCACACCCACACAGCAACCAGGCAGAGAACCGGTTGCTAAAATTTTTCAATCCTACCCCTGGACTGGATCATAGCATAAAAGTCATCAAGCTAGATATCTTTGTGATGGGTCATGACAATGAGAAAGGAAGAGGGCTGCAAAAGTAAAATATTTAATCAGAGTCTTTTCTTAATATACTATCCATAGTCAAAATCACTATACAGCAACAAGTTTTAATAGGAGCCTTAAAGATACAGCAGGGATTGGCAGAGAGGTCAGTAAAATTTAAGTTGGTAATGACTCCTAATGTCTTAAAACCGGGCGGAGAATGTTCTAATTTAGCACTGGGGAAACGATCTGTCAAATCATCTGCCCAAACACCAATCTTCCCATTGAAATGATGACCAATCTCACTCCTAATTAATCCAACTGGCACTTTTCCATATTATCAGGGCAGAATTATAAGACCAGGACTATGAATAACAGAAAAGTTTCCACTTTTTTTATCATCTGAGGGTCACCTGGATTTTTTGTAATCCTAATCTGATAGAATAGACATTAAAAGAAATACGTCTAATTTGAAATTAGCTACTATTATTACTACTACTACTAGGTCTATTGCATATGACGACAGAATCATAGATTCAGATCCATCATTTGAGAAAGGGAGTCCAGGTGAATATTGCAAGAATAAAGGAAGGCTGAAGGGAGATGGAAGGTATAAATACCAAGATGCCCACATACTCCATGTCAGGATATCAGGCAGACGCATGCAAAATTGGACAAATTCTATCCAATATCTAATGCCATCCTGTCCATATTTTCCATAGCAGGCAGGGAAGCTTTTTTATGTTACGAATTCTTTAAAGTATAGGAAGTACTTACATATTTTCCAGACTAAATTCTACCTCCAGATTTTCTTGAATCTATGAAAAAATAATGCATTATTTCATTATGACATATACAGAGTTATCTCCACATAGATTCCTTTAAAATGCAATGAAATGTTAACTTCTTATAATAAGATATCTTTTCTTTTACAGCTACCACACTCTAGATTTAAGCAGTAATAGTATCTAGTAGTTAAGTTAAATAAACTGGTGGCCCTCTTAATATTCCTTCTACTGTCTTGTGTCTTCATTTCATTATGAGGGTGTTGTACCTGTTTTAGCAGGAAAGTTCTGTCCAATTCCTGCTATCACTTCCCTGAGAATTAAATTTAAATATCTTGGGATATCTGAAACATATTGAAGGAGTTCTAATGAGGACATGGTGAATAGGCATTCCTAAACAGGAGGGACAACATTATGGCTGAATGGGTGATAGGATACTGATCAAACTACAGAAATTGCTCTAGGGAAAGGAGAGCTCATGAGAGCACCCATATATAGTGTGAACAGCTGCTACTCATGAATAGATGGCAAGAACTAGTGTTTCTGCAGACACTTCTGTGTTGTGAAGCTGTAAATTGAGGGATTTCATCAAGCTCATTAGGTAATAATACCTCCAAGAATGTTTACATCTGAATGTCTGTTTTACAGATGTGAATTCAATACACATTAAAAACAATTGTAGTAAAGAATTTGGAAAATTTGGCCACGATACGTCTGAACACCAATAAGGATACTACAATACCCATCCTGCCCTTCCTAGCCTGTTGTGTTTGTGGGGTGAGATGGGTTGAAGCTGAAAATTCCCATTAAATCTGTGTTCATTTCTTCTCATTCCCCCACCAGTAAATGTCAATAGTTTTGTTGCTTGTCAATCATGTCCTCCCTTTGCCCAGCAATTCTGCCCCCTTACTTTTGGATCCAATGGAAATGTGACGCAAATTGTTTCTCCAAGCTGAAGTTTAGCAACATCAAAGAGAACAGTAAAGGGCTGGCCATCCAAAAGGCAGTGGTTTTCATCATGAACAATCAGCTCCAAAATATTCTGAGAAGAGAAGGAAACTTACATCATCAGATTTTGTATTTAGACTACCAAACCAAAAAGAGAGTAACATTCAGTGGGCAGACTCTTCTCTTCAAAGATAAGAAGGCAATTTCACTTTCATTACAGAATTCCAGTTATAGTTTAAGATCAAAGTATGTATTAGGACTATAAGTCTTTGAATTCTAATCTTGGGGAAGCATAGCTATAGTTGATTCTAACATTGTATATAAACCTTAAATTTACTCCTTGATTTATCTTTCAGTTATAATTCCACTATAGGACTTTAAATTGTCAATGGCTTCTGTGAAAAAGAGTTTTATCAAGGAACTTCAGGTGGCATGTATCATTATTGATGTCTAACATTCTCTATAAATCTTTAGACAGAGAACCAACAAAATGTTATCATATAGTTCAATCTGTCATAACTGAGTTTAGATGGATCATCGGCATATGCAGTTAAATCTTTTTTGCAGTAATTGTCCTTGAAGTAAAAAAAATTGGTGGCAACCTAATGGTAGAATCATTGAGTATTCTTGGTTATAGAAGATTCCATATTTTAAATGATCATTGTCTTATAGTATGTCCCTTCAAATTCTTCTTATGCTTCTTTATAACATAAATACTCATGAAGTCCAGTTGCTAAGCCAGCTCCTTCTATAATTGGTTTATAATACTGTTTGTGGACCTTATCCTTTCTGTTATCCATAATAGACAGCTTGCTCGATAATATAATTTAAGGTGGGGAAATATAAGTGATTGTCTTTCTTTTTTAAGAAATTTAAACTATAAAATACACATAAAAATGAAGATGATAGGGAAAGGGGAAAGGGGAAGAAACAGGGAAGAAAGTAGATACACAGGGAAAGCAGGGTATCTCATCTTTTTTTCAGCAAAATAAAATATAATCATAATCTCAACTTTTTACTTAACCAACCTAATAAATATTAGCCATTTTTATAACAACAAACAATTTAATCAGAAACACACAACATCACGCATCACAATAAAAGAATGGATAGAAAAAGTCATAGAGCTAGTAGAAATAACAAAACTGATTGTTTTAATTAACTAAAAGAACATATCCAGTTTTGTTTCTGCTTGGAAACTTCATGCAGATAAATCAGCCATCAATAGGCACATAGAGAAACATCACATTTTTATTTATTAATTATATGTATATGTGAAATCCCCCCCTCCCATCTCATTATCTCTAGTAGCTCTGGTGATTTACACACCATTCCAAAGAAACAATAAAAAGCAAAAAAGGAACAAAAAGATGGCAATTCTTGGAGATCCAAACACCTCCTTGCCAGCAATCAACACCCTGATAAACAGGGATTAAGACCAGGATAGCAAACAATCAAGAAATAAACAATCAAGGAAATACCAATGCAGGCAAGACATTGGGCCACACCTAATCAAGGAATTACCAAGGAGAAAACTACACCCCCACCAATACAGACAGAGCAAGCTACTATACATAAGCAGAGAGAAAACCCCACTCCCCTCTAGCAATGAAGATATTATAGTATAGTCTTTATTGTCATTGTACAAAATAAATACAACCAAATTGGTTTATCTAGCCAAGTAATGAAACATCTGCAGGAAAACAACCAAGAACTCAAAGATGGCATATTGTTATTACCCAATGTCTATTAGTCTATATGAAAGCATTAGTATAATATTTGAATATATGAACTTTTAACTATGACAAAATAAATTATCTGCGTACTATGGTAATTTCTGCTTAACTAAAGCAAGTGAAGGGTGGGCAGCATAGACAGTTTGCGCTTGATAGCTATAATAATTTGGTGGAGAGGAAGAGAGACAACATTCTTCTTTTGCAAGTTGTCTTCCCACTTACATATAGTTAGCTTGCCACAGCATTTCTGATTGTGGCAGCAATGCAGACACACTTTGAAAAAGTGGGTCTTTTCCGCCACATCAAATATTAAACTAACTATTAAACAATATTAAACTATAAAACAAAATCAGCTGTGATATACAAAAAGTAATGTGAGAAGTATCTTTTCCCTCCTATTTACAAAATGATTGGTAGATTTGGGGCTGTGATTTAGTTTAATTGCCACTTATTCTGTTAGGCTTAATACCCAGGGTATACCAAACATATTATGGGTCATCCTTGCCACTATGAACTGGCTTTTATTAAGCAGAAATTAACACAGAACATATATAATTTATGACTAATAACTAACAGTTCATATAATTTAAAGACTGTACTAGTGTTTACATATCATGTTAGTATATATTAAATAATAACAGTATGCCCTCTAAAGTTCTTGTGCAGACATTTTTTTATCCATCTAGGTAACATCTTCAGTGCTAGAAGGGAGTGGGCTTTTCTCTCTGCTTATGTAGAGTAGCTTAATTACCCTGTCTGTATTGGTGAGGGTATAATTTTCTCCTTGGTAGTTCCTTGATTAGGATGTGGTCAGCTGCTTTCTCTGAGTTGGTAGTTCCTTGATTATTTATTGCTTGATAGTTTGCCTGATGTTCCTCCTGGTGTTCATCCTGGTTAATCTGAGCTTGGACTGCTGCAAGGAGCCATTTGGATTCCCAAGAAGCGCCATCTTCCTTTTTAGCTTTTTTATTGTCTCTTTTGAATGTTGTAGAAATCACCAAAGTCCCTCAAGATAGTGACAGGAGCGGACATACACATTTATTAAATACATTAAAATATGGTTTATCTCTATGTGCCTATTGATGGCTGATTTATCTGAGTGTTAAGGTTCTAGGAATTCCCTAACACTTTTCAATTTAGCTTTAGTTTGGGATGCTCAGTTTAGTCTATGTCCCAGTTTACAAAAACATCTTTGATCAAACTGATGACATTGTGAGTTAAGGAAAGCATTATAATGGAACTTCTTAGCAATAAGTACTCATTAAAGATACCTAGAAACAATGAGAAAAGCAGCAGCTATGGCAAAAGTTTTTTTTTTTGAATGAATGAAATGAATGAATGAATGTCCACAATGATAATGCAGAATTTGTTTAAGCTCAGAAGTTCATAGAATTTCAATTTAGTTTACAAGCAGACAGCAGAATGAGAATTTTTTCTTATTCCAAATCCTATTTGTGAGCTTTCTATAAGTGGCCATTGTGATTTAGACTAATGGACTATACAGACCTGATATATTTTCTTAGGTTTTAAGATTACTTTTTGATGTTCTTCCTTCAAAAAGTAATAATATATATGTGTTCTGTGTTCTGTCCTCTTTTGGTATTGTCCCACGTTTTACAGGTAATCCTTGACTTACGAGTACAGCTGAGCCCAAAATTTCTGTTGCTAAGTGAGTCTGCTCTTAAGTGAGTTTTGCCCCATTTGAAAATCTTTTCTGCCACTTTTCTGTTAAGTGACTCACTGCAGTTATTAAGTAAGTGACACAGTTGTTCCCTATTGACTTTGCATGTCAGAAGGTCACAAAAGGTGATCAGATGACCCGGCACAGTGTGTCATAAATATGAGTCAGTTGCTGAGCATCTGAATTTTGATTATCTGACCATGGGAAATGCTGCAATGGTCATAAGTGTGAAAAAGATTCATACATTCATACATTCATTTTTTCAGTGCCGTTGTAACTTCGAACAGTCACTAAATGAACTGTTTTGAGTTGAGGACTATCTTACAAATCTGAGAGCAAGAAACACTGTGAGTTCATTGTTTGGCAAGGTTTATATCTTTGACCTAAAATAGATACCAGATACTGGCTTTCAAAGGCCAATTGGCATCAAACGCTGTATTTCATTTGGCAAAAAAATAGTTAATGAAGAATATTGTGATGTAATAATATTCCCTAATATAAAGCCTCTTTCTCTAAAGTAAGTCTCATTAATCATAGTGGTTGGATTCCTATATTGCACTAAATCATGATTCTGTAAAAAAAAAAAACTACAGTAGATGGCTTTGCATAGCTCACTATTCATAAGCAAAATTTCAATCACAATAGTTCAGTTCATGCAACTTTTTGCCAAAGTTTTGCCACGTTTTGCCCAATCAAACTGTCAGGTCTGAACTTTCAACTGGGTGGAATTCCAGGAAGCTTTTAGATTTGGGATTCCACAGATGTGCCAACATGTCTATCTTATTAAATTGGAACTTTAAGGATAGCTCTGCCTTGGACTCTGATTTAATTCTGCATGATATTTGGAACACTGACACAAACTACAACTCAAAATCAAAATTAAAACTGAACAAAACGAGTCAAAGGTAAATGGCTTGCCAAGATGTATGACCTCAGCCAAAAAAGTTAATGAAGAACATACTGATATTACCTAAAAGCAAACCCACTACAGTAAGTTCTTGACTTACTATTACAATTTAACTCAAGT